GTCCCTGACCTCCCCTGTCCTGTGCACATTCTCTACATGAATAAACAATAAAAGACTGTATGACACTTAGCACAGAAGATTACAGAATTCAAGGAAGGAAGGATGAGCACAATATTGTAGTAACAGAATTTGGCACAAACATTTCCCGCATGATTCTAAAAGAAGTTGGAGGAGGAGGAGTCAATGTTCAGCCCATGTATTCTTAGAAAGGCATTTGTATCAGTGAAAACATAAACATCTTACTCAAACATAGTCTTCCTTGCTTGTTGGTAGACTCCATGAGGATTGTCTTTGAAATTCCAAGGTTTGAATTCCACATGTGTTGCTTCTTTCTCAGACCTCAGTGAATAATAGGTGTCCTGTTGGCTCCTTTTTCTTTCTGTAAAGGAGAAAAGCATTTTCTTTGGGGAACCTGAGGGTTTGGAATGGAGTGAGGGGAAGAATGGGACAATCCTGACAACAGGAAACCACTTTTCACTTTCCCAGTGAAAACTCATTTCCATGGTATGAGAGTCCCTTCCCAGAAAACAACATACCTTCCGGGTTACGTACAATGGACCTCACAGTTCTTGGTTTTGAATTGCTAAGCTGGTCATTTATAGTCCCTGACTGTAAGACAGATTAGACAAAAGACTTTTAATAATAAATGATTGTATGACAATGCGGATGTACTTAACACTACTAAATTGAACACTAAAAAAACATTAGGAAAGTTAATTTTGTGTTACCAGATAATTTAGTTCATTCTATTTCAGCACAATTAAGAATAAAAGCAGTTCAGCTAGTGGCTAGTGGTGGTCAAGACAGCTGGATCCCACATGGCCTCCTGTATGATTTGAGTCCCAGACCCAGTGACTTGAAAAGTATGTCCAGTGTGGTCATGCATGCATGAGAATTCAGAAAGAAAAGATGAAGGAGAAGGGATAGCAGCACAGCCACTTCCCAAGGGGGCTGAGCGCATTCTCATTTTATCTCTTTTTTTCTCTCTCTCTTAGTCTCTCCAGTGAGCACAAGTGTCTAGCAAATTAAATAGTAAAAAACAAAACAAAACAAAACATTTTAAGCATTCTAAAGCAAGTGAAGCAAGTGTTAAATACCTGGTCTCTGCTTTCCATAATCAATGGGAGTAACTTTTTGGAACCTGTTGCTTCTTGGTCTTCACTGGAGCAGTTTCCATCCAGGTATGTTGTTTCACAGACCTCATATTCACTTCTTGGGCAGAATCCATAAAGAGTGATAGGGAACTGAAACAAAATATTCTCACTAAAACTCAATGCTAAGCACAAAAATTTCCCATTCATATCATGTAATTTTAATCTTTTGAGATACATCATATGATGAAAGCCTGAATCACAATATTTAAAAAAAAGCCGGAGGGCATTCTGTTGCTCAAGCTAGCAATGTTGGCACCAGTGTCTTTTACGTAGTTCAATAAATTACATGTAAGAGTGATTGTGCCACCTCTGAGATGCAGCAGAATTCACTGTTCAAGAGAAAATGCATCCCACACAGTGACCACACTCAATTCCCTGACCTGCTCTGCCTGAAACATGCCAGGCACTCTCACAAATGCCCAAAACCTGATAGTGTGAAGGAATGGAAGAAGGCGATTACAGCATCACCGGGCACTGTGAAAGATGCTCCTTCCTCTTTCTCTGTCTTTCTCTCTCTCACTGCCTATCCTGTGCACAGTCTCTACATAAATACATTTTAAAAGCTTGTATGACATTCAACAGAGATTATTAACAAAGCTGAGATGTACAATAGAAATCATGAAAATCCTGAGGAAATTATGGAAATAACTTTGAATTTCTGTGGAATTGCTTTCTTTTGAATATATGCACATACGTATGAACAAAACATACATGAACATTTCAATAGAAATACTGGATAACATGTTAAAAACATAAATTGTTAACTAAATGCATCTCACAGCTACCTCTATATTTCATGGGAAATTAGTTGATCTAGTTTGGGCTAGAAGAATTATCAAGCCTATGAAGATGAGAAACAAGACAAAACCATGAGCTATCAATATTTCCTGGCACCTATAACTTTCTTGCTTATGGCATAAGAGCATAGATGACTGAGTAATAAGGGGAAAGAAAGAAGGTAGAAGTAGTTCAAGCCAGGGCCCACCCTGTGGTGTAGTAAAGTGCTATGTATCAGAGGCAGAAATACCTATGGCCGATGCAGGTCAAATCTTATCCCCAGGGGCTTGCAACACAAGCGGGGGGATGGGTGTGTGTGTGTG